ATATTTTGTAGTTGTATGTTTACTATATGACCATATATTGTTAGCAGATCTTTTAGGCATCTGGACATGGGAGCAATCTGTTTCATATATTTTTTTTCAAGATTACTATTTTAGGGCTAGATTGTACAATACCTATTCACGTTGGTGAGTACTGACTCAAAAATAAAACTATAATTGCAAATTCACATAAACAGATTCAACACTGCTCAATACATTCAAATATATCACATCTATCCTCTCCCTGAAATCAAATAGGCCCAAAACCTTCAGAAGTATTTGTGCGGGAACAACCAAGTCAGATCTTTTAGGTGGTTTGTATTTTCTCTGTGGTTAGCATCTGCCAACATTTTGAACATTTCCCTGAGGAAGTGGTGTGTCCACAGTAATGTCTGAATTGGATGTTCCCTCAGATGATGCTGATGGTTCAATGCAGCTGTTTTCTGGTATAATGTTATTGCTTCAGGTTGGGGCACCAGTGTTAAAGTGCATTAGCGCACTGTCTGATATGACCAATTGTTTTGCTGCCAGGAAAGCTTTTTGACACTCACATGACTATACACACTTTTGACCAGTCTGCAGCAAACAGTTGAGCAGATGCAATGCAGTTGCTAGGTGTGGTGTAAATCGGCTATAGTAGTTAATAAATCCTAGAAATGATCTAAGTTATGACACATTCTGTGGCAGCGGAGCTTCCAGCACTGCTTTAATCTTCTTCTGAGATTTATGTAGGCCTTGTGCATCAGTAACGTGCACACAATAAGCTACTGAGTCCTTGAAAAGTTCACATTTTATGCAATTGGCTTGTAACCCATATTCTTTTAGACACTTTAATATCCTCATCAGGGATTCCAGATCTTCCTCGTCACTTCTACTGGTCACAGTCATGTCATCCAGATACCACTGTGTTCTCGGAATACCTTGCAAAACTTGGTCCATTGCCATTTAGCAGGAGCTGAAGCAATACTACACATTAGCCTGCTGTACTGGTAGAGAGCCTTTTGTGTGTTGATTGTGAGGTTTGCCTTAGACTTTTCCTGAACTTCCATGTGTAGGTATTTTCAGTACAGGGTTTATGGTGACCTTAAAATATCCACAAACACTTACTGCACCACATTTTTTTACAATTGGAATGATAGGAATTCCCCACTTGCTCCAGGCCACTTTTGAAAGTATGCCCTCTCTTTCCAGACGTTCCAATTCAGCATTTACCTTTGAGCGAATACTGTAAGGTACAGGTTGGGTTTTGTGAAACTTGGGTTGTGCCTTCTTGGCTAGGATTATTTTAGCCTTCATGTGTTTTAGTGTTCCTGTGCTCTCCTAGATTATTCCCAATGCCTGACATAGTATCCCTTCCAGCTGTTTTAGTGGGGTATACTGAAAGTGACTTTATAGATCTTTATAGATTTCCAATCCAGAAGAACATATTCATAAATGATCTGGAAAAAGGGGTAAACAGTGAGGTGGCAAAATTTGCAGATGATACAAAACTACTTAAGATAGGTAAGTCCCAGGCAGACTGTGAAGAGCTACAAAAGGATCTCTCAAAACTGGGTGACTGGGCAACAAAATGGCAGATGAAATTTAATGTTGATAAATGCAAAGTAATGCACACTGGAAAACATAATCCTAACAATACATATACAATGATGGGGTCTAAATTAGCTGATGCCACTCAGGAAAGAGATCTTGGTGTCATTGTGGATAGTTCTCTGAAATCATCCACTCAATGTGCAGCGACAGTCAAAAAAGTGAACAGAATGTTGGGAATTATCAAGTAAGGGATAGATAAGAAGACAGAAAATATCATATTGCCTCTATATAAATCCATGGTATGCCCACACCGTGAATACTGCATGCAGATGTGGTCGCCCCATCTCAAAAAAGATATATTGGAATTGGAAAAGGGCAACAAAAATGATTAGGGGTATAGAACAGCTTCTGTATAAGGAGAGATTATTAAGACTGGGACTTTTCAGCTTGGAAAAGAGGCAACTAAGGGGGGATATGATAGAGGTCTATAAAATCATGAGTGGTATAGAGAAAGTAAATAAGGAAGTGTTATTTACTCCCTTTCATAATACAAGAACAAGGGGCCACCAAATGAAATTAATAGGTAGCAGGTTTAAAACAAACATAAGAAAGTATTTTTTCACGCAACGCACTGTCAACCTCTGGAACTCCTTGCCAGAGGGTGTTACGAAGGCCAATACTATAACGGGGTTCAAAAGGGAGCTAGATAGATTCATGGAAGATAGGTCCATGAATCTGGTTAATAGCCATAACTATATTCCTCTCAAAGACTGAAAAATAAAACAAAATATAAAAATGTGCAAATTAAAGCTGGCCTTGGGAATCTATATGTTGTCCCTGCTCCCCACTCATACCCTTCACATCACGCAACCATAACATCACAATCAGTACATTCAGATAATTACAACCATTAAAAAGTTTATATTACTCACCTCCCTTTGACTACACTGACAATCCATAATTGCTATTAACCAGGATGTGCAGGAATGGCGTCCCTAGCCTCTGTTTGCCAGAAGCTGGGATTGGGTGACAGTGCATGGATCACTTGATGATTACCTGTCTGTTCATTCCCTTTGGGGCACCTGCCATTGGCCACTGTCAGAGGACAGTTATACTGGGCTTGATGGACCTTTGGTCTGACCCAGTATGGCCGTTCTTATGTTCTTAACCATTCATGGCCCCACAGGGCCCCCCCTTCTCAATGATATGGGAGTCTAATAAACGTTGCTTATTGTTATACTCCACATTCACTTGCTTTACTCCAGTTGGTACTATCTTTTCTCCCATATATGTTTTAGTAACATCAGTGTCTCCCTCAGTTAGTTATTTTTAAAGTTTTCATATATTTCGAACATGAGACATTTTTCCCATCACCCAGGGTGTCAACCCGATCACTGACTTGTGATTTTTTCTCACACTATATCCACAACTGGCTACTCCACTCTGTCAGTCTGTGTCACCACTGCTTCTGTCTACAGAGTGTACATTGATATTTCTTTTTCTATATCCCAATTTGGTCTCTTCTTTATTTCTTATAGCATAACATACTGTTTGGATATGACCTTTTTTAGTACAGTTTCTGCAATGTGCATCTTTAAATAAGCAATCACAAGGAACATGGAACACTTTTCCAAATGGATAACAAGTGTCTGTTTCCTGAGTGGACTGGCACTTTCCTTGGGTTTCAGATAGTTTGTGTGTTCCTACTTCTGTTTTAGCTCTGGTATGCATGTATGATGTCCTCTTGGATATTTGAGCATTCAGCTCCCAAACTCTTACTGCTGCTTTTGTTATTCTGACTTCTGCTTCCATCTTTGCTTCTGCTTTGAATTTCTGCACCTTTACCTTTTGCTGCATTTTGCTGGGACACTTAGAGACTCCCTGGTAACCAAATGTTGAATCTATGGGTGTGCTGTATGGTGCAGATATGATGCAGAGAAATTCATAACATTTGCTGATAGCTGTCTCTGGAGTGTATTGCTGACTTTATAAAACTGTTTGTTTAGAAATGTAAGTAATCTCCATATGTTGCTCTCTTTTCTCACCCCTTGGCTTTTCTCTATGCTTCTTAAATACTGGCTAATTATGGGCATTTCCCTTTCTCCTCCCAACACATTATTTTTAGGTTAAACTTGAATTTGAAATAAAGGTCGGTGAATTAACTAATTGCAGTGTTGCTCAGGTTTCTTTATTCTTTTTTTTTTTTTTTTTTTTTTACTATAAAGAGATAACTGTTGCTCTCTCCACGCAAAATCTTCCCTTTGGGATGTGTTTGATTACATCAATAAACTTTTCGGTCTGGAATTGCAAACATTAACCATACATGTGACCATTGTCTCTTAACCACAATTATTTTTTGAAACCTCATTTATTAAACTTTTATGGATTGTCAGTGTAGTCAAAGGGAGGTGAGTAATGTAAACTTTTTAATGGTTGTAATTATCTGAATGTATTGATTGTGATGTTATGGTTGCGTGATGTGAAGGGTATGAGTGGGGAGCAGGGACAACATATAGATTCCCAAGGCCAGCTTTAATTTGCACATTTTTATATTTTGTTTTATTTTTCAGTCTTTGAGAGGAATATAGTTAAAACTTGCTCTTATTTGAAACCGATGTATATGTTTCTGTTATATTTTGGGGAATTTCTGCGACACAGGAGCTTCCCACGGCGAAGGCAAAATTATATAGAAGAATACAGTGATTTAACGCAATTTAAATTTTAATACTAGCTTGTGCTATTTTTTTTCATGTGCATTATGCAAAAATCTCAGAACAGTGGATAATTAAGGACAGATTAAAGCCATTAGTATACAGGAAACTTTTAATTTTTCAACTGACATTTGTTAGAATGAAATTTACTGTTTGACTTTAAGATTTTATTTAGATGTTATAAAATATAATTCCTTTTCACTCTTGAAATGATAGACTTTGGCATGTGTTTTTAATGTGGTGGATTAAGAAAATTACTTTTTATGATTAGAGATGTAATTTACCCATCAATTATTGTGTGGCCACTATATCCGCAGTTACTCAATTCCAGTGCCCTGGAATGGCTTATTGTGGCTTTTAGCTTGGGGTAGATTCCGTTTCCACCAAATACTTTCTCCATGCAGGTTGGGTGTCAGTTTCAATGTAAGTACCAGAAAAAAAAATTGACGTGCAAACTATCATTTGCAGTGTTTTACTAAAGACTATCTTTGCATCTGACAAGACTAGGTTACAGATATACTTAAAATGTCAGTACTTGTATTTCTCTACATTGTAATGTATTTTTTGGATAACTTCATAAAACTAATGACATTTCAGTTTTATTTATAACAGTAACTTAAAGCAAATATGTTTTGTGTATTTTTAAGAGATTATTTTGGATCCTGAGGAGGAATGTGCAGTAAATTAATTGAATAAGTTGTCATGTAGCACAAAATACCCAATGGTTCATTTGTATTATATTTTTGCATCTTACTGCAGGCAGAGAATTCAGCATTGGCTCTGGAAAATGAAAATCAAAGAGAACAGTATGAAAAGTGCCTCGATGAGGTAATGTAGATTTAAGAAAGATTTTATGACTGAGTTTCTCTGACTGTAATGAACAACAAACAGGCAGTTTCCCCAAGCCTGCCTTTCCAGTAGGTTCCCAGCCCTAGAAGCTCTGTTGTTCTGCTCTCAGGGCCACCCTCATGACTGTGTCTCTCACTGTCTGCTAACTTTCTCTCCTCTAACACACACAGCTTGCCAAACAATCCTTTAGTGCTTTGTTTACAATCAGGGAGCCCTCAGCTCACATGGGTAGTTTAGCATCTGCTCAGGCCTCGCCATGCAGCCCATTGCCTTGGGTGATGGCTTCTGTTGTTTTCAGCTATTTCATTACATAAAGGGACTTAACTGCTCCTTCCATTTAGCCTGAAAGCCTGCTTAGCACCAGGCCCAGCTTAACCAATGTGCACTCTGTGCCCTTGCACAGGGCCCCCATCTCGGGGTGGGGTGGGGAAGGGGAGAAGGGCTGGAGACCACTGCGCGGTGGGGAGCGATGGGTAACTGGCCTGTCAGAGCGTTTTATTTTGCCCACTACATTAATTCCTGATCTCACTGCAGTGCTGTGCCCTGCTGCTGGCCTTAGAAGGCAGGCGGCTGCTGCTGCTGCTGCCACTGCTGCTCTGTTGCTCCTGTAGTGGATGGCACTGGCTAGCTGCGCTGGGGTTTTTTTACTTGGAAGCAAAGCATGCTCAGGCTATTGCGGCTGGTGTTACTGGTTGTTGCCCTATAGAAGGATATGTAGCCTCTTTAAAACAAACACAAACAAACAAACAAATAAAATATGGTCCACCAAAAGGTTTTAATGGATTTTGTGGCTGTCTGCTCCCACCATCACATGCTCTGTCTAGTTTGGCTTTAACCAGATCTGTGATTGTCTGTAACTCAGATAGACAGCAGCCTTTAGACCTTGCATCATAGCAATACATAGCAGCCTGTGCATTTAAAAAAGCAAACCACTACACTACACACACAATTCTCCCCTTGGAGAAAGGACGAGAGAGAGAGAACAAATCACATATGATAGATACTAGTCACATCACTTAATCCACTGGTGGAAGGTGCTCAGATATTATGGTGGTGTAAGAACCTAATTAGGATAGAATATAAGAATTTAATACGTTTAATTATCTTCTTGTCTTGGATATGATGTGGCTACAGAAGTCATTTCAGCACTGGGTTAAGTGAGACATTTACCCATCATTGAGAAAATAAAAGGGGTCCATATACACCTCTACCTCGATATAACGCTGTCCTCAGGAGCCAAAAAATCTTACCGCGTTATAGGTGAAACCACGTTATATCAAACTTGCTTTGATCCGCCGGAGTGTGCAGCCCCACCCGCCCGGAGCGCCGCTTTACCGCGTTATATCAGAATTCGTGTTATATCGGGTTGCGTTATATCGGGGTAGAGGTGTATTTAGACTGTAAGCGTTTTGGGGCAGGAGCCCTCTTTTTGGTGTGTATTTGTACAGTGCCTAGCACAAAGGGGTCCTAGTCCATGATTCTGGCTCCTATGTGCTACTGCAATACAAATAATAGTCATTTTGAAACTGTGCTCCAGATTTTATTTTCTCAGTGCTTAAGTCAGGTGATTCAGGTCTCCCGCTGGCATACCTGTCCCTTCTCACTCTGTGAACGCTCTCCTGGAGGCAGTGTTTCTTGTCTGTAAGTGACAAGGGCTGCTGTTTCCAGTAAGGTACGTTTTCTTGTGTCTTGCCTCTCATCTTTTCTGTGTTCCCTTACTTTTTTCCTATGCCTCTGTTATTTCTAATCTCCTCTCTTCTTCTTCGCCTCACCTGTTACCCACTCTATTTCTCATCTCTTTCCCCACCTCCAATCCTTTGACCCCTCTCTTCCTAGTGATATTGTAACCTGCCCTATCTCAGCCAAGTTAGGCCTGGACCTATGTGAGCAATGATGCACATAAATTGGTTTCAGCAGCCATGACAGCCTCACCACAAACCTGGAGACAAGCACTGTGAGTTCCAGCTATGACAGCCACATGGGCATCTAACACTGAGTGGGCTCACGCAGGAATGGCATTCACAGGAAGGGTTCACAAAATAAACAGGGACCTTTCCTTCTGCTCTTCTGAGATAATCTCAGTGAATTCAGTAAAGAAACAATAAACAGAATTAATGATCTGACATAAACACAGTTAAGAAATAATCCATTAATGCCGATGGGACCCTGTGGCTCCAATTGCCTTGGATCCCCTGGACCCCTCTGGAGCAAGCATACCCTGATACAAAGTTATTCCTAACCAGGGATTTTCAGCAGAGCTGGTCAAAAAATAAAAACATTTTAAAAAATTATGAAAAATTGTCCATTTTTTGGTTGGAAAACTTCTGTTCTTTATGGCTCTAGGCCCAAAGCACAAGCTCCACTTCTCACAGGACAGAGCTCCTTCCCTGGTCCTTTTCATGTTTGGGCCAGATTCTAGGAGCTTCCTCTGCAATCCTTAGGACCAGAGATCAGCTGCCTCATTCTCTTTCCTTCCAGGATGTCTCACATGTTCACTTCTGCCACCAAAATGACCTGGTTGGCTGAGGGGAAGGGGCTCAGTTGTCCCTCAAAACAGCAGGCTCTGATCAGTCCCAGAGTTGCAGTAGATCAGCCCTCTGAAAGAGAGTTTCAGAGTCCATTACAATAATTATTTTTAATTTCCTACCAGCAATCAAATCGATCATGAATCATGATCTTTGGACCCCACAAAAAACTTGGGCGTCCCATCCTTGTCAGACTGCAGAGGAAGCCATACATGGCCACAGCATCAGCCAGAGATGATTCCTATTATGCATGGTCATGTCATGTTCTGATCTCTGTCGGTTAAGGGGAATGCTAGGAATCAAGGGTGTATTTCATCCTCTTCATGTCTTGCACACTCAAGAGCTGGATTCAGGGCAGTTCATAAATCCTGAGGCCCTGTGCTCCTGTGACGTCGCCCTGCCCCTAGTTGGGGTAGTGATGGTTGTAGGGCTGGACTGGTCAAGGGAATCTGCCACTGTCCTGTGGGCCTCCTTCCCAAACCACTGCTCCCTGTCCAGGTAGGCCAGGGTCTGTCCCAAGCAGAGGGTAAACCTTCCACCCTGTCAGTGGACTCTGTGCTTGGCCATACATGCCACCTCAGCAAAAAAATTGTGGTGGGTGGGGCTCCGACCTGGGCAAGAAGTTCCAGCATCATCCCAGCCTAGCCATGATGGGGTGGCAATAACAAAGCTTCCCCACTATGCACACAGAATCCTCTGCAGAAGTGTCAGTGGCCCTGCCCCCCCGCCCCCATGCAAGAACTAAAGAAGTGAAGGTATCAAAGTTCCCTCTTATTTCCTTTCTTTGAGGAGCAAATACTGCTTGAGCTCACGTTTAACACCTATGAGTGCAGCCTCTCTCACTCCCATTTCCTCCTCCTCTTTGTCTCCTTCATTCCATCATTCCTTGTACTTCCTTCTTCCTCATTCATGCCATGCCCATCGGTCACTATTCAAGGGAGAATACTGTATCTCTGACTTAAAATTTCACGTTCTCCAATCATTTTCATCAGTAAAGCTCAATCAAACTCAAATATTCATAGAAAACACACAAGGGATATGAACATGACTGAAGCAAAATCCTTTATGAACTCTATTAATATATTCACAGATTTTTAAAATTAATTGCCCATCTCTATTATTTTATCAGAAGTTGACATATGAACATTTCTGGAATAATATTTGGAAGTAAATAGCACTGAACTGTCCAATACTACACACATCCAAAAAAGAGCTCATTTATTTAAAATTCAAAAATATACTGTAAACCTGTCTCTCTGTCTCTATAAAACATAATGCAAGAAACAGGATTATCTTCCTGTACCTTATGGGTTTGAGGTTACATGCTTAATCCTAGTTTCCTATTCAGGAATTTGACTGTCAGTTTATTGGCAAGAAGTAGTATAATGTTTATTCACGTTATTGTGCCAGCTAAGATTTCTGTCAAGCTTGACTGTACTGATATAGAGGAAAACGTACAAATGACTGCTTCAGTGGTAGATGAAATCTTAAAATGATTTCATCTTAATATTACTATAATACATTTCCAATTAGCACCCCCAACATATAAAGGCTTCTTCAATATGCATTTTACTTTTTAAAAAAAAATAAAGAAAAATATCTCTCAGAGCATCTGTTTAATTAATTAGAAAATCCTAAATGTTACACAAAGCCATATATATAAGATGCAGTTCTGTAAAAAAAAAAAAAAAAAAAAATACTTCACATGCAGAAACCAAGATGTGCTAAGAGTAGCCAGGCCAGATTTGAGTGAGAAGTGTTGCAGCCTGGTGCAGGAGGTCCAGCACCACTCAAGTTTGGCACCCCACACTCCACCCCCATTAATAGTGCGGGGAGTGATTCAGATTCCAGTGCTGCTGCTGGCATCATTGTGCTGGGCCCGAGGTGACCCACCAGGCTGAGAACCTGGAGTTAGAAGCAGAATCAGGGAAAATTCTCCCACCAGTAGCGTGCCTGAACTCAGGGAGAGGCAGGACCAGGAATGGCCTTCCAGCTGCATGCGGGGAAGAGCTTCCCTTTCCCCGCAGGGAAGGCAGTGACTCCATAGACCTGGGCCCTCTCTGGCTTCCCCATCCCCTCCCTAATCCCCCAGGCAGCACAAGGAGGGCAACGACCCCAAAGGCCTAGCCCTCTCTGACCTCCTCCAATCCTTCTCCTCTTCTTAAACTCTTTTGTCTCCATGATAATTTTTTAGAAGGGTGGTGAGGGGCCTCACCTTCAGATTTTTCTCCGGGCCCCCAAAATAACATCTATGTGATCCTTGTCCTCTAGCCTGCAAGCAGAACCAGGAAACCGCTTACAATGTAAAGTGTTCAGCTTGCAATTTTAACACAGTTTTCAGTACACCACAGACAATGCCTACCTCACAGGAGTGTTGTGTGGCTTAATGTCAGAAAGCCTTTTGACATCCTCAGGTGAGTGGCATGGTATAGGTGTAAAGTAGTCTTAGTTATC